GTGTGTTGTCTGTCTCCCCTCTTCCCCCTCCTCCGCACCGCTGCACACCACGCCCACTTATTTAGCATTTTTAAAAACTGTGCTGAGAACTAACCAGTGCTGAAACGGGGGGTTTCATGACCCTTTAAGTCGCTGGGGTATATTTGTAGCAATAGCCAACAATACATTGTATGGGTCAAAATTATTGATTTTTCTTTTATGCCAAAAATCATTAGGATATTAAGTAAAGATCATGTTCCATGAAGATATTTTGTAAATTTCCTACCGTAAATATATTAAAACTTAATTTTTGATTAGTAATATGCATTGCTAAGAACTTCATTTGGACAACTTTAAAGACGATTTTCTCAATATTTAGATTTTTTTTGCACCCTCAGATTCCAGATTTCCAAATATTGTCCTATCTTAACAAAGCATACATCAATGGAAAGCTTATTTATTCAGCTTTCAGATGATGTATAAATCTCAATTTCGATAAATTGACCCTTATGACTGGTTTTGTGGTCCAGGGTCACATATGAGATTTAGTGTTTGGTTCTGGCCTACATGATATTTATTTGCACTATACTTGAGACATGTATATGGCTAACATCTTCATTCTGTGTACTTTGGAGGTTTTTATTTGATTTTGTGTGATGTTTGTTTACAGATGCAGTGACCTGTCAACAAAGTAGCCCAGAATGGGACTTCCTCCGTCGACAGCAGGCTGCTTCCAGCTAATGATCACATAATCCTTATTGGCATCCAAACTATGAACATCTAAAGGAGCACCAGGAGCGCCGGCAACCTCCGCATCACCATCTAACAAACACAAATAAAATAAAGTCTGAATGAAGCATTCAAACAATTGCGATTAGTTTACATAAAGAAACAGCATGCTATCCCTTGTGAAAAAGAAGTGCACTTATTTGTATTGAATGTGCACTTGTAGTGTACTTCAAATCTTAAAAGTAGCTATATTTTAAAAAACTGCATTTGTAGATAAAATATTAATGAAATAAAAGCCATTCTCAGTGTACTTAAAGACACTTTCATGACTATGTTTCTAAAAACACACTTAAGTACACTTTTAAAAAGGGCACTTTAATGCCAAATTAAAAGTTTTACTTCAAATTAAATTTTTTATAATATTTTGTCGTGCTTTAAAAAAGTACACTTATTTTGATGTGTTGACTAACATACTAAAGCACATGTAAAGTACTTGATTATCATTTTATCTGTAGTGTGTTATTTGATATTACATTTAAAGTTAATATATTTTAAATGTACTAACTTGCAACTCCATCATTACAAATATATTTAAACACATGACATACAAGTTTCAATAGAAATTACATTAAAGTGTATTTTAGTTTCCATAAATGCTTGTCAGTTCATTCAGCAGTACTTTAAGCATACTTCAAAGACAGAAGTAATTATGAAATTACATATAAAGATGTACTTAAGTCCTACTTAAGTAGGTCATAAAAGCACTTTAACGTTCAGCTAATTGCATTTACTATACATTTTCATTTAATCGCAATTAACTTCTGCAATTAAGTGTCTAAAAACATTACATTCAGTTTGCATTTAAATTATACGTATACACTGTAAAAATTAGTTTTCAAAGTTGTAAATAAAACAAAGATTATTAGAGTAAATTCTGTTTCTAACTCTAATTTAATTATTAGAGTTAATTTCTGTTTCTTTGTAATTGTTTTACACCAATTCTTTCAGTGTTTACTTATATAGCAAGTATATTCTTTTAAAGTATATAATTTTTATAATAAGAACTCTTATACAAAGTATGCTAAAGTGTGCTTCTTTTTCACAAAGTTGTTGATTAAAACCTCAATGCAGTGTATTGCAGTGCTTTAACTAGGCGAGTGTTGAGAACTTCATTCGTCGAGGCAGTTTCACAGCTCCTTCATCTGAATGTCATGACGGCACAGACACAGCATGACAGGGATAAATTTAGAAAGAAACATGAGCTGGGAAGGGAGGCTTACAGAGATACGCAAATCTCAGTACAAGCCAAAAGAGTTAGTATCAATATTACCAGCATGAATAATTTGGCCTGTATTAACGCAGCAGGCTGAACTGGAAATAGTTGACTGTATTGGTCCTCACCTCTGACAAAGACATACGCTGAATGTGTCTCAAAGCCAGATTTGGTGATGACGCGAAGTGTGTAGAGTCCTTCGTCCTCCTTGTTGAGGTGTGAGAGAGTGAGTGTCGCTCTGTCGCCGCTCCAGTGCATCTGAACCCATTTTGATGGCACCAGCAGTTTATCTAAAACACACACAAACACATCCATGCATTACAGTATGTGTCACTAGGAAGAAAATGCATTTTAGTATATAAAGGAAAATATACAGTCAAATTTTTTTGTTTTTGAAAGAAAAATGTTATGCTCACCAAGACTGCATTTATTTAAACCAAAATACAGTAATATTGAGAAATATTATTACAAGTTAAAATAGCTGTTTTCTATGTGAATATCTGTTAAAATGTAATTTATTCCTGTGATCAAAGCTGTATTTTCAGCATCATTACTCCAGTCTTCAGTGTCACATGATCTTCAGAAATCATTCTAATATGCTGATTCGCTGCTCAAGAAACATTTCTGATTATTATCAGTGTTGAAAACACTTACATTCTTGTGGAAACCATGATAAACTACCATTCAAGTAAAATAAAAACATATACTTTTATTCATCAAAGATGCATTAAATTGCTCAAAAGTGACAGTAAAGACATTTATAATGTTACGAAAGATTCTATTTCAAATAAATGCTGTTTTTTTTACTTTTTATTCGTCAAAGAATCCTGAAGTATAATGATTTCCACATACGTTTTAAGCAGCAAAAACTGTTTTCAACATTGATAATAATCAGAACCATTATAAATAATGAGTAACAATAGTAATTGATAATAATTGAGCAGCAAATCAATATATCAGAATGATTTCTGAAGATCATGTGACACTGAAGACTGGCGTAATGATGCTGAAAATTCAGCTTTGATCACAGAAATAAATTACATTTCAAAACATATTCAAATAGAAACGTTATTTTACATTGCAATAATATTTCTCAATATTACTGTTTTTGCTCTTTGTCATTGGACGTTGGACCGAAACGTTGTATGTGAATACATTTATTTTTGATATATTTGCAAGTGAGGATTTTTACACTTTTACTATGTTCTTTATCAAATAAATGTAGATTTGGTGAGCATTAGAGCCTTCTTTCGAAAACATAAAAAAATCGTAATTATTCCAAACCTTTGACTGGTAGTGTATACACCACTTTGCAAGAAGTAAAGATTAAATATGCATGATAAATTGATTTCAAGATGGCATATTATCTGATGGCATCAATTTTGCAAGAGATTACTATTATTGTTGCTCTTACCATCTCTGTACCACTCTATCTCAGGCTGGAAGCGCTGCAGTGATGGGTAGATGATAACAGAGCAGCCAAAACTCAGCGTCTCACCCTCAAGTCCAAAAGACACACCAAACTTCTCCACAATGTGCGTCTCGAATTTCACTCCGTACTCCAGACAAGGTGCTGCAGTACACACACATATTAAACGCAGTTTTATTTTATGAAAATGCAATATCGATGGCTATGACTCCAGGATTCACCTTGTGGAAAATGATGCACACATACACACATATTTATAACGAAACACATACAATTCACATTGTACAATGTGTACAATGAATTAATCTTCTGGAAAGGGTTTGGAAACTTTTCACAGGAATATCATCAAGAATTGAAAGGAGACTGACAGCAGGCATCATTTAGGTGGACAACATATTCATAAAATACACAATGAGACAACAAAAGTGCGGTGAATGTTAGTGAGTATGAAGACATTTGCGTTAATGATGCTGAGACACACAAAGAACAGAAAAGAGTGGCACTTCATGAAGATGAATACAAATCACACACACACACACACACACACAGAAAATGGAAATGGAAAGAATAAACAAAAAATGTTATGCAAGAAATCTTACGTCCTCAGTATGGAAGCTTGTTTCCACCATGTTTCGCCCAAGTTTCACAATTCTGAGATAAAAAGTCGGAATTGCGAGATATAAACTCACAATTGCGCAAAATAGTCAGAAATGCAAATGCAGAATTCAGAGAAAAAAAGTCCGAATTGCAAGATTTGAAATCATGATTCAGAGAAAAAAGTCAGAATCGTGAGAAAAAAATGTCAGAATTCTGAGTTTATATCTTGCTATTTTGACTCTCAGAATTGCAAGAAAAAAAGTGAATTGTAAGGCGTAAAAATTAGAATTCAGAGCAAAATGTAAAATTGCAAGATGTAAAAATTAGAATTCTGAGTAAACAATTCAGAATTGCGAGATTTAAAATCATGATTTAGAGAAAAAAGTGAGAATTGGAAGATTTAAAATCATGGTTTAGAGAAAAAAGTGAGAATTGCGAGATTTAAAATCATGATATAGAGAAAAAAGTGAGAATTGCGAGATTTAAAATCATGATTTAGAGAAAAAAGTGAGAATTGGAAGATTTAAAATCATGGTTTAGAGAAAAAAGTGAGAATTGGAAGATTTAAAATCATGATTTAGAGAAAAAAGTCAGAATTGCGAGACGTAAAAATAGAATTCATAGAAAGAAGTCGGAACTGCAAGAAAAAATTTATTCTGAATTCTGAGTTTATATGTTGGAACTCTTTTCTCAATTTTCTCAATGTCACAATTATTATTATTATTTTTTTCTTATCCTGTGGTGGAAATGGGCTTCCATAATACCTTTCTTTTTCTTTTTCTTTTTAATTTTTTTTTCTGCGTTGCCAATATGCATTGAAGGAATAACAAACAGAAACCTGTTTACACTAATGAAGTCTAAGGGTACAATTGCGTTGAGATTGACATTGCAAGTGCATTACAGTGACCATGCTTTTGTTTGCTTTCTGTTATGAGAAGTGATGGAATTATTTTCCGTGATAATTCATAGAAAGTTGCATTTAATATCTCTTTGATAGTTCTTTTTTGTTGTCCAAACGGAGTCTATCCAGTAATGTAATTGTGGCCAAATTGTAAGCTTAAATGTTGAATGATTGAAACAAATTTTTATTTGGATAAAAATATTTGACTAATAGCAATTCAATATTTAAAACCAGATACTAATCCAGCAGATTGTGTGTAACTTGTCAAAGCCACCCTGAATGTTATCTATACACAATATTTTCATCAAATAAACAAAGATAGAGGAGTAAAACAATGAGAAGAGACGATCATGCATATATAAGATGATCAGGTAAACCAGACGAGACTGAAACATTAAAAGAACTTTATAGAAAAACCTTCACAAAGGTTACCTTGGAAGCCGAACTTTCTGCTTTCTGCACCAGCGAATCGGAAACAAAATAGCCATTAGCCAGCTTACATGAAAAACTTTAGCCTCATGCTCACAGCTGCACACACTTCAGCAAAGCACATTTACAGAAACTGTGAAAGAAGAGTATCAGACTTTATTCTGAAATACTTACGGAGTCTGGGAGATGGCAGAGACTCATCAACTTCTCCTTTGAATCCTAAATGAAGTATCACACATAATGATAAGACCTTCTGTTTTTCTGTTTTATCAAATAATTGGAAAAATGTTCTTTTTATGATCCTTTTGAAACCATAACAACCCATTTTTTTGACCAATTTGCTTGAACTATTCCTTGTGATGAAATTGTCAGCAATATTCAAATGACTATTGGTACATTTCAGTCACATGACTTTTTCATATATTTCACATATTTATGACCAACAGCGGGGCAAAGTAATGGCGATGAATACAAAACCACATGAACGTAGATGCCAAGAAAAAGTGTTTATTATTGGATTTGATCCATACCAGGTCATTTTTCCAAATTTCAAGTTACAAATAAATAAATAAATAAACCTTACAATTACTAAAATAGATGAATAGGACATCTATTCAAGACAACAGGAAGTCTTGAAATCCTGCGTATTAATTAGGTGCTGTATTGATACTTTTAATAGACTACAATTCAGGACTTTTTTGTGAAGTTTTAGGTGATTACTAGATATTCTCTGTCGGTCAAAAGTTTGGAATAATTACGTTTTTTTAAAAATGTTTTTTAAATAAGTCTCTTATGCTCACTGCATTTGTTTAATCAAAATTGCAGTAAAAACTGTAATATTGTGAAATATTATTGCAATTTAAAATAACTGTTTACTATGTGAATATATTGTAAAATGTAATTTATTCCCGTGATCAAAGCTGAATTTTCAGCATCATTACTCCAGTCTTCAGTGTCACATGATCTTCAGAAATCATTCTAATATACTGATTTGCTGCTCAGTTAGTATTAATTAATATTTGCACTTTAATAATATTTCATATTATTTGATATAGTGGTTCTTATTAATATAAATGTTGAAAACTAATATTTTACACTATATATGTCTTTACTGTCACTTTTAATCAATTTAATGCATTTTTACTGAATTAATGTATTAATTTCTTTGTTTTAAAAATAACGTTACTTTTCATGGTTTCCACAAAAATATAAAGCAGCACAGCTGTTTTCAACATTTCTGAAGGATCATGTGACACTGAAGACTGGAGTAATGATGCTGAAAATACAGCTTTGATCACAGGAATAAATCACATTTTACAATATATTCACATAGAAAACATTTATTTTTAAATTGTAATAATATTTCACAATATTACTGTTTTTACTGTTTTTTGGGGCAAATAAATGCAGCCTTGTTGAGCAGAAGAAACTTCTTTCAAAAACATTCAAATGTATTCCAGACGTTTTGACCGGTAGTGTTGCCGCTATGACTGTTAATGTTCTCATTAGGATGAGTTTAGGATGATTCATTTCAAACCTACTTTTGACGACAACAGAAGCAAAAGCAGAGGTCTCGCCCTTGCTGTTCATGGCCGACACACGATACTGTGCAGTGTCATCGAAGTCACACCTGGAATTACAGACAGACATGTTGCACACACGACCACTGCATATCACTGTAATTGCTTCAAGAGGAAGAAATCCATGTGCGCTCACTTGTTAATCTCCAGGGCGTGGACGCTGTAGCTGCTCTCCACTTTGTACTTCCCTGGCTTGGCCATCGGATCAATGCTAACATTGTTCTTGTACCTAAGAGAGAAGAACGGATTGAAATACTATGGGATAATGCAGTGCATCAGAGCTTTTTGACTGAAAAGTAGAGGCTGAAGGCCAAGTTCATCCTCCAGAGCATCTCAATCCAAATCCAAATGCACTGAATTTTTTTTTTGCTCACTCAGAAATTGCTAGTGCATTTCACAATTATTACACGTAAAAAGGACTAGAAATGCTGCATTATGCATGCTAGGCCAGTAGTTGGCGATGTTACTTCGTAAAGAACACGTAATATGTATGCGCTTGATGTCACTGTTTCACAAATTTGTGTTTTTGTAGTTTACATGGAGCGGATAATGTTTTTATTTTCAAAAACTTACACTTTGAAACCCGTTTTCAAAGGTTTTCAGGCCCCTGAAATGTCATGTAAATGAACGGCCAAAACACATAAAAAGTTTTCTGTTTTTAGTTGAAAACGCCCCCTGAATCAGTCAGTTTTGATTTCATTCAGCAGTAAATGAAGTACAAAAGGAGAAGACAGGGGGTTTGTCACACCTTATTATAGTTAACTAAAACTAAAACAATTTCATTACTTGAAATAAAATAGACTTTAACTTGAATAAAATATATAAAACTAAATTTTTTTATTTCAACTTTTTAATTCAGTTTAATTGTATGTACTAAAATGACTTAAACTGAAAAAAAAATTAATAAAAACTATATGGACATAATAAAAATCACAAAATTTTTTTATGAAAATGACAAAAACACATAAAAATTTCCAAAACCTTATGTAAAAATATTCTGAAAAAAATCTAAATATCAATAATAACTATAATAGTGTCTCAGTCATACTAAAATAACACTGCTTATCACATTATAATCTTGATGTAATGCAACCATCATACATCTGTAAGCATGTGTGTTTGTGCGTGTGAACTCACCACACGACGCGTGGTTCAGGCCATCCTGAGATGGTACAGTGCAGCCGCACACACTGTTTCTCCCAAACAGTGTGGGATCGTGGCTTGATCACAAACTCGGGCGTGTGCATCAGGCTGTCCTCGTTCAGACGCTTATGGTACTCTTCGTTTTCATGGATCTGAGGGCATGCAGCCATTCATATAGTGTTTAGAAAGTGCCAATGTTTTTTGGTCATAAATGCATTACGAGCATGCTTTAAAAAATGTAATGCATTTATGACCAAACGCATTACTATGTCAAGATGCAAACTTCCCAACGGAATGTTCTGCATTCAAGTTAAGCTGAGAATATTTCGACCAATCCATTGATTTGTAAAAACAACAACAAAACACTGTATACAGTAATTAGTTTACAATGGAAATCTAAAATGCGAGGCACTGCAATGGAATAAACATTAAAATACACTCTTCTGAAAATATAACCACAAGAATCAATCATTATACATGTTACGTGAGATTAGATAGAATTATTACTAACCTTGTTTGTGCAAATGAAATATTTCTGCTTCTGTCATAATTATCCCTTGTGAAAAAGAAGTGCACACTAAAAAGAGCATTTATTACGGAAATTCTATACTTTAAAAGAATATACTTAAGTGTGAAGTGAGTGTAATGTTTTTAGACACTTAAAAGCATGTTAATTGCAATTAAATGAAAATATATTATAGGTTAAATTTATATTAACTGCAGTTAGCTGAACTAAAGAGTGCTTTTCATGACACACTTAAGTAGGACTTAAGTACATCTTTATATGTAATTTCTTAATTTCTTTTATTGCTTTCAAGTATGGTTAAAGTACTGCCGAATGTACTGTCAAGGATTGATGATAGACTAAAATATACTTTAATGTAATTTCTATTGGAACTATTGTAATTATACATTTGTAATGATTCAGTTGCAATATAGTACATTTAAAATATATTTTTATATTTTAAAATATAATTTTAACAATTTAAAATTTTAACAAATTAAAATTATAATCAAATACTTTCCATGTGCTTTAGTATGTTGGTCAACACATCAAAATAAGTGTACTTCTTTAAAACATGACAAAAGATTTTTAAAGCATAATTATTTAAAATGTATTTTAAAGTAAATTGTTTAATTTTACATTATTATAGTGTGCACTTTTTAAAAGTGTACTTAAGTGTGGTAAGAAACAGTTATGTAGGTGTCTCTTATGAAACAGTTATGAAAGTCACTTAAGTGACCTTTATTTCATTAATATTATCTGCAATTAAATTTTATATATATATACTTTAAAGACTACAAGTGCACATTTAATACAGTTAAGTGAACTTCTTTTTGACAAGGGATGTTAAGGTGATTTGCCAAAAGATGATTTACAAAGAGAAAATCCACCCAGAGGAATTACAGTAATGCATGGTAAACATGAATGTGACTTCTCCCATTAAAACAGATTCACAAAATAGCTGTACAAAATGTGTTGAGCATTCATAATGTGTTCATTAAAGGTGCTGTATGTAAGTTTTTGACTCTACTAAAGCATAAAAATACCATAATATGTTTGCAGATATTTAAGAAACATGCTAAGTTAACATACTTGTTTATCTGAAAAACAATGCTACAGTCAGTTATTCTCTGAAAATGTGCATTCCGGGACGGAATGTCAGTCTTTGTTTTGGTTTGTGAAACCCGCCCACTGCCAGTTTACCCAATTGTATTTCGGCACCCCGGGTTGCCAGTTGGCGGCATTTCATTCATGGTTAAGTGCGCTCGTTCCTGTTGGTGTCTCAATCTGGCAACCTGCGTGTGCGTCAAGTCTGAGGAGGAGGGGCCGAGTGAAAAAAAACCGCTGCAATACTTTGAATTTGGACTGCAATACCTAGTTCAACCACTCGGTGTCAATCCTACATACAGCACCTTTAAGACTCAATCTGTTCAACAGAACATTCATCAGGATCAAGTGCCTCCTTACAAGTCATTGGTTTTATTTGTCCAGTCACGTCAGCGTAAATATAATCTCCTTGAGGATTCCCTCAGCGATCAGCACATCACTTGTCGACAACAGTAGTTTCATAGTCACTTTAACACACACCACAGATTAACACACACCACACAACCACATAAAACATTACAACCCTTGAAATCTGGCACCACGGTGGCACGATTGGTTGGCACCAAGATCAGAACTAAATAAAGTTTGTGTCGTGATACTTTCTTGCTCTTTTTCTGTCTAAAAATAGGGAACATACTGTACAGTATGCTTGAGTTAAATAGAGTTCTTAAAACTCTGCAATCAAAGCAAACCCAAATGCATCTCCTGTTGCACAATTAGTTCAAAACAATAAAATTCTCATCTTCGAACAATAAATTAGTTCAAACAATAAATTAGTTCAAACAATAAAATTCCCACCTATTCATTGAATGATTAATTTTACCTTCGTGTTAAGTAACATGGGCAAAATCAGTTTGCAAATGTATGAGTTTGTAGTTATAAAAGGTTAAATCATCAAATGTTTCAGCACTACTAAAAATAATCTTCATTTTCTGAATAGAATGAGTGTCAATTTATATCTGTATGGGATGTTTTTGACTGTTTTGTCAGATTTTGACTGTTTTGTCCTTCAGATGTACAATCTGAGTTATCATTGAAGTCCATTGAGTTATGTGCTTAAGTTTAGTACACAGGGTTAGGAGATTGTTCAAATAGTGATGCTTTTCTACACTTGTGAAAAAGGGCACTTAATTGTACTGAATGTGCACTTGAAGTATACTTAAAATCTTAAAAGTATATATATTTTTAAAAATGTATTTACAGATAATATAATATTAATGAAATAAAATGCCACTTAAGTGACTTAAAGAGGGACACTTTTATGACTGTTTCTAAGCACACTTAAGTACACCATTAAAAAGTCCACTTTGTAATAATGTCAAATTGAAAGTTTTACTTTAAATCATCGTTTTAACCTTTTGTCTTGCTTTAAAGTTAGTACACTTATTTTGATGTGTTGACTAACATACTAAAGCACATGTAAAGTGCTTGATTATAATTTTAACTGTAGTGTGTTATTCAGTACTACATTTAAAGTTAATATTTGTATGCACTACATTGCAACTTACAAATGTGTAATTACAAATATATTTAAATACATGGCATACAAGTTTCAATAGAAAATACATTAAAGTATAATTTATTTACCATAAATGCTTGTTTATATAAAGATGTACTTAAGTCCTATGTAAGTGGGTCAAAAAAGTACTCTAAGATTCAGCTGTTTCCATTTAATTTGCATTTCAACTATAAAAATTGCATTTAATTGCAAATAAAATGCAGTTAATGGTAGTAAAGTATTTCAATCAGTTTGCACCTAAGTATATTCTTTTAAAGTATATTATTTCCATACTAATTATTCTTTTAATGTATGTGCTTCTTTTCACAAGGGTAATAAAGCAAGAGAGCTGTCAGAGCCGTGTTGTAGCTCAGTCCAACAGTTTGCAGTTGTTAAAATGTAAATTTAAGTGAGAAGTGTTGAAGAGAAATGTATAATTAATCTCTAACCACAACAGCAGTAGTGAGTTATGTGTTTAGGAACAGGACTAGGATCTCCACTGACCCTCTTGCTAAGCGAGATGCGCTCTGCAGACTCCCTCACGACGGTTCTGCGGGACTTGTGTTCGACGCGCTCCGACTCCATGCCTCTAGCGAAGAGGTCACGGCGAGCCAGATACCCGGCGCTCTCTTTTGCGCGCGCTTCCTCAGTGTCTGATAGGCCGCTTTCAAACTCATGACTGAGGGGGGAATTATGTAGCATCACATTCACACACCACTTGACTTAAACAAAGCAGTGCAGCATAATACAACATATTACGTCACATACAATACATATACACAAGAGTTACAAACAAAAAATGGAATCACATCTGTGTTCTTTGAGAAAACTTCCAAGACCTTGCTATAGCAACCTCACATCCACCCTGAAAGGGACAGTTCACTCAAAAATGAAAATTCTGTCATCATTTACTCACCCTCATGTTGTTCCAAACCTGTATGACTTTGATTCTTCTGTTGAATGCAAAAGAAGATATTTTGAAGAATTTTGGTAACCAAACAGTTGCTGGTAAAAAAATAAATAAATACTATGGAAGTCAATGACTGCCATCAAATACTTGGTTACCAACATTCTTCAAAATATCTTCTTTTGCATTCAACAGAAGAATGAAAGTCATACAGGTTTGGAACAATATGAGGGTGAGTAAATGATGACAGAATTTGCTTTTTTAATAATCTCTTTAATATAAAGGTTCATTGCAGCAAATTTTCTTACCAAGAGCCATTCTGGCTATATAGTATTCCTGAGAGGGCTGAATGTTTCTTCTCAATGTTAAATTATAGGTTCCGTCAAAGGATATCCCTTGTAAAAACAGAAGTACACTTAATTGTATTGAATGTGCACTTGTAGTGTACTTCAAATCTTAAAAGTATATTTAAAAAAATATATATATACTTTAGTAGTTGCAGATAATATAATGTTAATGGAATAAAAGGCCTCTTAAGTGACTTAAAGAGAGACACTTTCATGACTGTTTCTTAACACACTTAAGTACACTTTTAATAAAGTAATGACGTCAAAATTAAGTGTTATCTTAATGTGCATTTTACATCATGTTTTAGTAATCTTTTGTTGTTCTTAACAGTACACTTATTTACTAAATACTAAAGCACGTCAGAATTTATATTTCTTGACACACTTAAGTACACTTTTAAAAAGTGCACTTTGTAATAATGTCAAATTAAAAATTTTAATTGAAAGGATATTTTTAATGTTTTAATAATCTTTTATCATGTTTTAAAGAAGTGCACTTATTTGAAGTGTTGACAGATATATTAAAGGGGTCATATGATGGGCTTTGTAGAAAACGAAGCGTTTGAGAGAGGCGGGGCATAGAGGACCTACAATAATGTACAGTATTTGAAAAATAATGTGTTTTTTGAACATTAAAGCATGTCAACATATTCTGTTACACCAAATACACAAAATAATGATCTTTAAAAAAGCATCATATGACCCCTTTAAAGAACATATAATTTTAACAGTAGTCTGTTATTCGATATTACATCTAAAGTTAATATATTGTACTAAATTGCAACTTCATCATTACAGATGTGTAATTACAAATATATTTAAATACATGACATACAGGTTTCAATAGAAATGACATTAAAGTATATTTTAGTTTCCATAAATGCTTGTCAGTGCATTCGGCAGCACTTTAACCATATTTTAAATACAATAGAAGTAATTATTAAATTACATATAAAGATGTACAACTTCAACTAATTTCATTTTTAATTACAAGTTCAACTAATTTCATTTAATATAAATTTAAAATATAATACATTTTCATTTAATTGCAGCTACTAACATGCAGTTAAGTGTCTGAAAACATTACATTCAGTTTGCACTTAATTATGTTCTTTTACAGAATATTATTTCAGTACTTTTTAAAAGTATGCTAAAGTGTACTTCTTTTTCACAACAGTTAAAGAACAATGCTAAAACGTTTCTTCAATGGGATCTGACTGTAAAATGATACAGTATGTTTTTTTTTCATTGTGCGTGTAGGGCTATAAATAGGATATTATTGAAGTGCTTGCTAATACCAAACACATGCTAACAATAGAAAACATGACATATGGAACAGCTGCATGTGTTTTTTCCAACACTAACAAAACCCAGATTGTTTCTTTACCTGCCCCTGAAGATGGGCACCACATAACCGATGATCTGGTTCTCCTTGTCCATGGCCAGATAGGTTGGTTTGGCTCTCTTGGGCAGAGGGCTCAGCCCACCCTCATCTAGAGCCGTGTATGTGGCAGCTCTGATGCTGCAATGGTGCAGAAATTGCAACATATACACACACGTGTGAGTATCCAGCACTTAGTTCACACGCTATTATGAGTTTTAGAAGGGGTGTGGAGTCATGAAGAAAAGATGTTAGGTTGAAAAACGTCTAAGATTGCAGATAGTTAAGGGAGTGAGTGGGAAGGAGGGTTAATCACCTCAGTGGTCCTGCATTACAACAAATCACCAATAAAAGCTTCCTCAGTGCTCAAAAGTATGGAGTAGTAGAACCTTGCTCCAGGTTCAAGGCACTGGATCTACAACCTCCTATATACACACTCTTACATCTATCTATAAACTTTCACATTCACTGTCTTTCAATGGGATGCTTTTTAGTGGCCCAATCTCCAAAAAAAAAAAAAAAAAACATTTGAGGATTAAAAAAAAAACAATTCTACTCCTTACTAAACAAATCAACAAAAAAACAGCATATTTCAGGATATAGTTACAGGATATTCAATCCTTAAGTGCACTTAATTGTTTTAAATTCACACTTATAGCGTACGTCCAATTTTAGAAATATTTATTTTAAAAACTCTACTTGCAGATAATATAATAAAATAAAAGGCCACTTAAGTGACTTAAAGAAAGTCACTTTCATGACTTTGTTTCTTAAGTACACTTTTTATTTTTAAAAGGGCCTTTGTAATAATGTCAAATAAAAATTTACTTCAAGTACATTTAATCATTACATTTAATAAACATCATGTTTTTATAATCTTTTGCTGTGCTTTAAAGAAATACATATTTTGATATGTTGACTAACATAAAGCACAAAAAAAAAGTGCATTGCCGAAAATACTGACAAGCATTTATGGCAAATTGTAATTTAGTACAATTAATATATATATTAACTTTATTACACTTAAAGTTAATATATATATTAATTGTACTAAATTACAATTTGATCATTACAAATGTGTAACTACAAATATATTTAAATACATGACATACAAGTTTCAATAGAAATGGCATAAAAATATATTTTAACACCATAAATGCTTGTCAGTATTTTCGGCAATGCACTTTTAATTATTTCAAAGACAATAGAAGTAATAATGAAATTACATATAGTGATGCTATTAAGTCCTACTTAAGTGGGTCAAAAAAAGCACTCTAAAGTTCAGCTAATTGCAGTTAATCTAAATTTGAGCTATAATACATATTCATTTAATTGAATTAACATGCAGCTAAGTCTCCAAAAGCATTACACTGAGTTCATACTTAAGTATATTCTTTTAAAATATATTATTTCTGTAATAAGTACTGTTTTTAAAAGTATGCTAGAGTGTACTTCTTTCTCACAAGAGCTAATAGATATTCAGCATGATATTCAATGTGGAAATAAATTTAGGGCAGAACTTGACTCAATATGGCAAGCATAATATTAAATAGGTTGAATTTGTTGTGTTATAGTATACGTCATTTGTAAGTTAGAATGGGTAAAGGTATCCGCTAAATGAAACTGAAAGCTTCATTTCTGACCTGCGTGTATTCTTTTCTGAGTAATAGCAAACACAAATCAGTGTTCATAAGTGAAAAAATCCATTGCAACACCCAAAGCAATACCTGACGCTCAACACCAGAGGACCCAATCACCTGAATACTGACTCGCTCCAGTCAGCTCATTTGTTCATTTATTCATTTATATTTAAACACTGTGTTATCCTCAGCTGTCCGTCAAGTCTTGTTTTCCATAAGACTGTAAATCTGAGCCCTGTTTCCCTCCTCCTTTGTGTGTATTACCATCCCACTTGCTCTTTGGATTATACTGCTCGGATTTACATAGTGTGTGTGTGTGTGTGTGTGTGTGTGTGTTTGCATAGTGCGTTTACATCCTGATTCCTCTGCTTCTGGTCCGTCATTACACTCATGCCTTTAGATGACATACACCCTTCATATATCCTTCACATATCACTATCTTCTCCAGGCCTCTCACAAGTGTGTGTATAAATAGACATTCAAGAGTTCAGGAGAGAGAGGCTGGGGGGCACTTAGGACCGTTAAAGTGATCCAAAACTAAGACTGGGATTGGACAAAAACTGTATCCCCCTAGCATGGAAAAACTTTCTGTGTGCCACATTTAGCAAAGACAATTGGGAGCATGTGTATCATTGGATAACATGATTAATGGCACAGAAACTGAAGCCTGTGAGCCAACCTGCCATCCTGTGACACTCCATATCCTGCTTTAATCCTGTACAGCACAGCAGCTCATAAAAGCGGGATCTGTTCAGGCTAAAAACAACCGTTTCAACAAGGTCTGTGTTTAGCATTCAGAGCATTTGTCCACAAAATGATAACAGCCAAACAACAGATCTGTCTGTAGACTCTTAAAAATAAAAGTTCTTTATTGGCATTGATGGTTCCATGAAGAATGTTAAACATCCATGGAATCTTTCCATTCCACAAAAGGTTCTTTACGGTGGAAAAAGATTCTTTGGATTTTTCAAATGTTCTTTACACTAAGAAAAATGGTTCTTTTTAGAACTGTTCACTAAAAGGTTCTTTGGATAAACCAAAAATGGTTCTTCTATGGCATCACTGAGAAAACGCTTCTCTTTAGGAACCTTTATTTTGAAGAGTGTATCCTGGTTATGCAATCCACACCCTCTTTTTCTAAATTGCCAAAAATGTCCGGGTTTTTTCTTTGTTTTCTTATTGTTTTCCAGCCAAACAACAGATCTGTCTGTAGACTCTTAAAAATAAAAGTTCTTTATTGGCATTGATGGTTCCATGAAGAATGTTAAACATCCATGGAATCTTTCCATTCCACAAAAGGTTCTTTACGGTGGAAAAAGATTCTTTGGATTTTTCAAATGTTCTTTACACTAAGAAAAATGGTTCTTTTTAGAACTGTTCACTAAATGGTTCTTTGGATAAACCAAAAATGGTTCTTCTATGGCATCACTGAGAAAACGTTTCTCTTTAGGAACCTTTATTTTGAAGAGTGTATCCTGGTTATGCAATCCACACCCTCTTTTTCTAAATTGCCAAAAATGTCCGGGTTTTTTCTTTGTTTTCCTATTGTTTTCATATACTTGCCGAAGGTAATGACTGAAAAGTACACTCTCAGAAAAAAAGGTACAAAAGTTGTCACTGAGGTGGCACCTTTTCAAAAGGCACACCTTTGTACCAAAAGAGTCCATAATGGTACCTTAAAGGTACATATTAGAACCTAAATTACATATTAGTACCTAAAAGGTACAAAAGTGTACCTTTTGAAAAGGTACCGCCCCAGTGACAACTTTTGTACCTTTTTTTCCGAGAGTGTAGTTTGACCAATAGCGTGCAGGCATTCTACATAACTGACCAATCGTGGCATGTGAGAAGGTGGGATTTACAGAGAACGGACAAAGCAATGCAAATATGCGTATATATAATGTACGATGACTGTAGAGAGCACATCAATAAAGGAAAACAAAGACAAACTTGGACATTTTAGGCAAAAAAAAAATAAGAGGATGTATTGTCACCCTAACTTTGGATTGGATGGATTTGGAAAACAAGTGGTCAATTACACAACACAACCTATCTTACATTTATATGTATTCATTCAGTGTGCACTTTTATCCAAAGTGACTTAAAAATGAGAAATATAACAAGCTATTCATCTCAAGAAAAAGTTTGAGAAGTTTTGCTAATGTACAATTTTACCAGTTGTCAGATTTGGAGGATAACAGCCCTTACGAAAAAGAAGTTTATTCAAGTGTGCTGTTAGTATACTTATTTTAAACTAAAAATAGGAAAGTATACTTTTAGTCTACTTTTTATGTACTTCTCAGAAATGGGCTTTATGTACTTTATGTATTTACTTTTATATATTAGAAAGTGGGCCAATTTAGTCCCAATGAGTATTGAAATAGTACACTTACAAGTATACTACTAGTACACTGATATTTGTATACTTACTTCATGAAGTATACTTAAAAATATACTTGAACTTTACTTAAGTATACTTACTAAAATAAACTTGAAGTATACTACTTTTTGGTAAGGGAGTCTAGAATAGAGAGGAAAGAAAAGAACAGTGAACAGTTAAACTAACTAAATTAACTTGTTAAACTTGATCATTTATTTGTTTTCTTCATTTAGTTATGTTTTCTTGTTATTTTATTTGGCACAATAATGAAATAAAGACTAAATTAATTTCTGAAACTATATTAAAACCCAGGATGGCCATATTTTTACATTGCATTTCTCTCACAAAAATTGTTTACATGTCTCATTCTGTTCCTGCTTTGCATGTGGAGGTGCTAAATTTTAGGCTAACTGAACAATATGGATATCCGACTGCAAAACTATAGGAAGAGAAGATAGTGGGCATCTATGCAACTCTGAAAAGGAGACAGTTTCATATGCATCTATTATTTTTATCCTTTGAATAGAAGTAATTGACCATTTTTTTGATACAATATAGTGGAAAACATTCATGTATTTAAATAAAAAGTGTGCATTGGCAGCCTGTTGGCACCTTGTGTCTGCGTATAAAAAAAGTGAACTCTGCGAGTATGTTATTAAGACCGTTTTCATTGTGCTATAAGAATCTAATCAAATACACTTTAAGCATCTGCTCTCTCTTTAACTCTAAATCCCACACACATACACACAGTGCAAATGTAAATGCATAACGCATGTGACACACATAACAACATCTACTTCTGTAGCCTCTATAAATACACCATGACGTCAAGAACACCAAATGAAGTGGCAAGTTATGTTATGAATGCTATTTATATTACGACATGAAACCAAGTGTTGAAGAAACTAATTAAATCATGACTGAGCCTTGCAAGATTTCAATTTGTGCAAGTTGTTGTCAGATTCTTGAGGCTGCAGTAACATTAGTCCCGTTACAAGACACACAACTTACGCTCTGACATTCAGAGTGACCCAGTAAGCAACTGCCGGGACAAAAACGAGCCAGAGGGAGTACATCAAACAAAATACAGGCACAAATCCAAACCACAGAAAGGCCTAAAAAGATTCACAGCAGGTTTTGAATCAAGAAGCACTCTAGGAACCAAACTTAAGTGGTAAATACTGTAAATGTCTGACTGTCAGTCATTAAAACTCAACCAAAAGTCCTCTATATTGCGATTTTTCCCCCCAACTCCAATGACAATATTCTGTAAAAAAACAAAAACAAAACAAAACACCAATATGCCAAAGGTAAAGCCAGTATACCAAACCCATATATCATGAAGTGAGTGTGATCTGTCAACAGTGTCAACAACAAGCACACTGCATGCAGAAAACACATATAAACTGCATGTTTTAAGGATGGTTTTGGTTGAAATACAGATTAGACAAAACAAGAGGGACAACAGTAGTGGGTCATTTTTGTGTTCGGGTGAAGGATAAGTGTATTATAAGGCATCAGGAAGAGCTGGCTGCTGGAATGAGTTCAGGTTATGGGACTGGGAAGGATTTACTGTTGATGTGACAGATCTCTCCATGCTCTCTTACCCCTTGGTGCTTTTGCTGCTATGTGAAGAGTAAGTATTAGAGCTCTGCTGGTATTGGCTGATAGCAGACTCCGTCTCTCGGCTACGGTAGCCGCGATCATAATGGCGGTGGTGTTTCTGGTAGAACGGTATCGATCCCGACATTGTGTCCTCTTTAGCTCAGATACTGTCTTCAGTTCTCAAGCTCTTTTAGTCAGAAGATTCAAAACTTTCTATCAACACATTAAATATGCGTATTACACCCAGTGATTTGTCAGTAATCATTTCACAGGCAAGATTTATCAGTGCTTTAACATCACAGTCAATTTTCAAATTAGTCTGTGAAAATATTTGGTGCATTTTTATGTTGGAATGCCATTAACATTGTTTAATAAAAAAATAAAAAACTCTTTGTTTGTTTGTTTGTTTTTGTTGATTTGTTTTTTTTTACGGCAATACAATCTGACTTTGATATCTAAGTGAACTTAAAATATATATACAAAGTTCAGCCTTCATAAATAATTTCTGAACCGTAAAGAATTTTTAGTCATCAGCTTTACCATGCATATAAGTAGCCTATAATTTAATATATTATATATATATATATATATATATATATATATCAGCAGCTCTAGCTCTAGCAAATACAATAAAACCACGCTAGTATTATGACAACAGTGAACTTTTTAATGAAATAGTGACTGCACCGTTACACTATTCTCAGGACAATATTTTTAATGTTAGGTTGTCACGCATTTATGGTATAATTTAAAACAGTTTATTCATTATATTATTTTCCATTGGCCAAAACTATGGTCGATGTTATGTTTGCATGTTGTCATGTACAGTTTTGCTGTTTCATACTTGTTTTGGTGTTTAAATATCGCGGAAATAGTCTGTACCTCATTCTAAACGGGCCTATGTTGTGCAGACGGCTTTTAAAATATTAAATCAGTATCAAGAAAGCATGCTGTTCCCATTGCCACCCCATGCAAATTGACAAGTTAAGTAAATCTATTTTCAATCCTATTTTTGTTGTTGTTGTTGTTCAGCGCTAACCTCAGTCTTTCCTATAGCTACGGGTTTAGAATGAATTGTATAACCCACAAGATTCACAAAACATCTTCTATTTCACCTGACAAGCTTCGTGCGTTCACGCAGCGGATCATCTCACCTTGCCAAAAGTCTGCAAACAGCTCAGAGCCGGACCGCAGAGCAGCGCGTCAGGAGCCCAACCAAGATCCAAATCCAAGCAAAGACGCAAACTGGCGCGGCGCTGTGAACGGGAGCTGCTGTCCACACAACAAAAATAATATTGGCGATGGCAGGAATGTCCAAGCGACTGTCACGACCTTTTATGGCGACAGGGGCCGTTAAATATAGCCGTAGTGCACAGGAGTATCGGCGCATTTACACTGCACGTTCTGTACCTCATAATGAGTTAAATACACTGGTGTTAGTTTATATGGGTGTCATTTATAGTATAAAAAAAAGTATGACTGTTTTTGGCTATTGCATAACAAATAGCCTAACCAAGTGGCGTTTATTTAATGAATGATATAGCCTACTATATACAACGCCTTTTTCAAAAAAAGAAACAAAAGGAAAAAAAAAACATTTACATTCGTTTTTACAACATTTACAATGCGTTACATTCTAAAACATACACTGTTAAAAAGTAAGACAAAATGTTGTCACACATGGTTGTTAAATGTTCTTGGAAAAAGTCCATATTTAGGTTTAGGGTGATGAACAACATTTCAGTAAAGTTTTCTACAGCTTAACCAGGAATATCCTGCCTGGAAAAAGTTAGTACACCCCAACTTTTATCCCTGCATACGATTTAACTCAAGTCAACCGATTACTAGAACATCATTAACAATAAATGCCAAACCTTATATAAATGTCAATAAAGTCTGGTTTTGTCATAAGATTTGAAGTGGTACTGTCATGCAGGTCAAAAGAGCTGACTCAGAGTCCTTCAGAAGGAATTAATTTTGGAAAGGGTTTTAAACCCACTTAAACACTATATTCATAATTATAATGTTCTTCTTCTACTTCTTCTTCTTCTTGTAGAACTAGAATCAGTTTTGTAAAAAGTTTTTAAAGAAATAGAGGAGGGCTGGAGCTTCAATCTGACCATTTTTGAGGTTGGTCTTCCAAACCCACTAGCGCCACCAATGGGTCAAATATGTTTACGCTATTAGTTTTAGAACTGCTTGGTTAATAGTTGTGAAAATTGGCACAGATATAAAAGAGGGTTGGAGCTTCAATCTGAACATTTTTGAGGTTGGTCTTCCAAACCTTCTAGCGCCACCAGCGGGTCAAAGTTTCACTGATATTTATGCTATAACTTTTGAACTGTTTAATAAATAGTTGTGAAAATTAGCACAGTGATAGAGGAGGTTTGGAGCTTCAATCTGACCAATTTTGGGGGCTTTCTTCCAAACCCACTAGCGCCACCAATGGGTCAAATATGTTTACGCTAATAGTTTTAGAACTGCTTGGTTAATAGTTGTGAAAATTGGCACAGAGATAAAAGAGGGTTGGAGCTTCAATCTGACCATTTTTGAGGTTGGTCTTCCAAACCTTCTAGCGCCACCAGCGGGTCAAAGTTTCACTGTTATTTATGCTATAACTTTTGAACTGTTTAATAAAAAGTTGTGAAAATTGGCACAGAGATAGAGAAGGGTTGGAGCTTCAGTCTGACCAATTTTGTGGTCCGTCTCAACCTTTTAGTGCCACCAATGAGTCAAAATTGCACAGATTTTACATTAAGACTTTTGAACTGTTGGCCTGCAAGGCACCAAATCTCTTGAACAAAGCCGAAAGCAAGGCCATTTCAAGCGATAAAACCTTATCAGATACAGATAATAAGGGCTTGAGAGCACCTCTAACACCACTGACAGATCCCAGACAGGAATGTGATTCAGGCGAAAATGCCAAAGCCTGTAACACATGAGAGACAAAAGAGTGTTACCAGAGTCTTATCATCTACTCACTCGCCCTCATGTTGCTCCAAACCGATAAGATTTTTGTTCATCTTCGAAACACAAATGTGGATATTTTTCCATTTCAAAATTTCTGTTTCTGTCCACTGAAAGTCTATTCACCCAAAACACTGGTGCTGCAAAAAGTCCATAGAGACATTATAGAAGTAATACATATCAATCATGCGGTTTAATCCAAGTCTTCTGAAGAGACACAATTGCTTTATATGATGAACAGATTTAATTTAGGCTTTTATTTATATATAAACATTGATCAACACACATAAATAGAGAACATCTAATATGGTAAACTGACGCTCAACACGCATTTGCTTGACATGTGAGAAGCAATGCGAATTCTTCTCGCGTGTCAAGAAGGTTGAGTTCGGGTTCATTTGATGTCAGAGACCGGCAAGCAAAGGTGGAGGGGAGCCTAGATACTTATTGGGTCCACTGTATGTATTTATATTATACAAGCAAACTTTTCCGGTTTGTCCATGGAGAAATGGTTAGATTACCTTTATAAGCCTTTATGACCTTGTTTTCCAAGGCCTTTATCTCAGCTGTGGTCTGGACTAACAATAGCCATGTTATTGTTATCCCCCCTCACATACAACACATACCAGCAACAGTGTGTGTGTGTGTGTGTGTGTATGTGTGAGAGAGAGAGTTATTTCTATGGGTTTGTTTTTCTGTTGGCAGTCTGGCACCATTTATGCATATCTGTTAGACATTGCAACATGCCTGCCACTCAAGTTTGGAATAATTAAGATTTTTTAAATGTTTTGAAATAAGTCTCTTATGCACACAGAGGCTGCATGTACTGGATTTGATCAAAACTACAGTAAAACAGTAATATTGTGAAATATCAATACATGAGTTCATGCAACTATTTTCTATTTTATTATATTTTAAAATAATGCTTCAGAATCATTGTAAAATGCTGAAGTGTTACCCATAATACTGAATTACATCATTCTTAATAAAATGAACATTGTAAACATTGACCATTTTGTCCAGTCTGTATCCCTGTGTCAAGTGTAATGGGTTCGCTGTTTAATATGTTTTGTTTTGGCGGAGTGGGCGTGGCCTTTACATAATTATGCAAACAATGGGGATTGTTCATTTTAGCTATCCAAATTGCGGATGTATGTTTTGTTTTTATCCTTTTAAAACTCTTTTTTTTTTTTTCATGATGTTAACTGAATGTACAAAAGTAAAACGGTAAATTCCAATTAAGAGCAGGAAAATATGTGTAGCCTACATAAGGTAGGCTATACCTCATTAGACTGAGTGAATGCTTTGTAGTTTAGAATCAGAATCAGAATCAGAAAGAGCTTTATTGCCAGGTTTACACATACTAGAAATTAGTTTGCAATCATACTACAGCTCATCTTAAACAGAATGCAACTCTCCTAAACACCCGAGTTGTTTCAACCCATCTTTGGATCAAATATGGACTAACCCAAATTTTGGGTCAAAAATGTGATTGAAAAATTTGACCCAAAGTTGGGTTGAAACAACCCAGCATTTTTTAGAGTGGAGATTAAGCAGTAATGCATGAAGTTCCAGTTATGCTGATGCCAATCAAACCAAAAGAGAATAGGCCTACTTTTCCTGGAAAAGCGTGCGTTTGTGTGTGTGTGTGTGTTCAGACCAGCTGCCTGTTTATGAGACTGTTGTTGTCATGAATATGCCTGTGTATTTTCGTCTTTGTAACAGTGTTTGGAAGAACACACGTTTGGCTGACCCTGGGATTGTAGCATGGGTTTAACACAGCTGCTGCATGGCGTCTTCTGTAGAACATATGAAACTACAAGCCTACTTGCTTTTGTCACAAAATAAATTGCATTATACAAAAATTAATTTATAGGGATATTTGTTTTTTCATATGTCATAATTTTGAATGTCTCCTTACATGTAATATAGAATTATGTGCAACTACCGGAAAAATACAGTTTGGTCCTATACGAATAATGACTTCAATTCCATCTTTTAAAACTGATATTTTACACACGCTTACAGCACAAGTACTCTCTCTTGTGGCCATACAGTATAAAGCAATGCAGCATACACTCCTGATTATGAATGGTAGTGCATAACAAGTGTCACGCCCTTGAGGAAGCACGGGCCCACTCAGATTTTGAGACTGAATTTTGGATGCATCTTCTAAAAAAGATATTTATATCATTGAAGTTGCATGGATTTGCTGGCGTTAACACCGTGGCAGAAATCACACATGCAGGTCTAAATTTACTCAGTCCAGCTGAATCTCAGCTTCTGCTGTTATACTTCTCCAAACTCGACTTTTTCCTGTGGGACATAAAAAGGATTTTTATTAAAATAAGGTTTTGTCAATATAGTTGCAATCAATCAGTCAATCAATCAATCAACAAACAAATAAGTAAATACATACATACACCATGCACCTGATTCTTTGGACATGTATGATGCATGCTTATAGTTTACAGTTCAAAATGTACACTTTTTAATGTACTTTCACTGTATAAAAAATAAATAAAATAAAAATTAAATCCACTTGAAAATCGTTCAATGGCTGCATCCCAATTTTGTACAACACAGTAATAAGTTCATTGGACTTTATATGATCTGTTTGAAGTGATTCAGAAAGTCAAGTTTAAACTCCATAAAAGCAAAGGGAGTAGACGCAATTGGACAGAAATTTGTCCAGTTATGTTACATTTATGGAAATAAAGATGTTGTTATAATGACAGACACTTAGGCTAATTCATTTGAATTCCATTTTAACAGCCTAATAAATTATTAAAAATAATATGTCACCTTTGCTTTGATTGCTGAGGGCTTACAGACAACATATTGAGGCTTTTTTCAATGAAGGTTTACATACAAATATTTAACTGTAAAGTTACTTTCATACAGTTTACATTTTTGAAAGCATTTTTGATTATTTAATATATATATATATATATATATATATATATATATATATATATATATATATATTCCACAATTGTATTGTAATTTTTATTTCAAAATATATTAGGAGCTCATTTAGAGTTTTTTCTCTCTCTCTCTCTCCAGGTAGGCTATGTATGATAAACAATTTTTTTCTGTCTCAATAAATCGATCAATAAAAGTTACAGTAACCATGCAATAAATGTTACGTCGCCTCACGCTGAACGGGAAAAAACTGATTTTAGCCCTTATATGGTCACGTTTAAGAACGATTACGTAGGATTTGTTTGGGGGCGTGTCTAGGAGAAACTAAGGCGGAAGATAAAGGGGTGTATAATGTTTACAATATTTAATTAACGAATTTGGTCACATGAAAAACTTATATATATTGTATAGAGCGTTTTAAAGGAATTTTCTTGCGGTTATTGCATGTCACGGCACGTTTTGTGAATCTTTATTTTTCATCCGGGACATTCTTTCCGTCTCACGTTGGTCTGGTCGAGGGTTGCGGAAGCCGGAAGTTTGGGCGGTGGTTGAACGCGGCTGGAAACCGTTGGTCTCAGTTCTTCGGTGAGGCGCTTATTTTCTTTAATTATTTGATCTGTAGTGGCTGTTTGTACGATTTAGTTATGAAATTCTATTTACTTTTATAATATGTAATAAAATGTATACGGACAGGGAGAGTTAGCGAGACACAATATTGATTACAAATCTCAAAATATAGCCCAGACGTGTAGTATACAACGTTACACAAGTGTTATTCATCTGTAACTTTGTAAATATGTAAGCTTTTGCCAAAAAGTGTCGTTGTACTTGCTTCCTGTCTCATTTTATGGTTTGTTTAACCTTGCCATCGGAAATGCGCTAGCTAGCATTACTGTACACAGTGTCCTCATTTACTGAAATGCGCTATAAATAAATCAAATGGGTCCCTCATGTAGACTGTGGTGAGACAGAGGCGCACCAGTTTCTCTTTGTCCTTTAAAAAAATCAAATTAAACACCTCTTTTGTACTTCGTTTATGGCTGATGTAATGCAGGACTTGCTCTAGCATTACTGTACACAGTGTCCTCATTTACTGAAATGCGCTATAAATAAATCAAATGGGTCCCTCATGTAGACTGTGGTGAGACAGAGGCGCACCAGTTTCTCTTTGTCCTTTAAAAAAAATCAAATTAAACACCTCTTTTGTACTTCGTTTATGGCTGATGTAATGCAGGACTTGCCGCAGCACGCAGAGACTGAAACACTGTTTTCAGGGTTTTAGCTGATATACGGCATACTGCTTTATGTTACTGTATTGTTATTAAAAGACATTGATTCACATGTTTTAACTCCTGTTGCCCAGACTGAAAAGTTTTTACATCTTCAGTGAGACCTGTTTGCTTTGACATGGTCCTAAATAAGGCCTTTTCTTCCCCCTTCCACAAATTAAGGCCTTAAAGAATCTTAAATCGGAGCAGAAAGTCATAAATTCATAAAGTAGTTGCAAAAAAAATCTGCGTTTTTGTCATGTTTTCCAATACAAATATCTAGTGCTGGATGGTATGACCAAACATTTATATCACGGTATTTTTCAAAATTATACCGATTTCACGGTACGACGGTATTTTTTTTTTATGCATGACCGGGTTTTAACCATATTTTCTACTGATTGAGAGCGGAGATAATGCAGTATATTGACTTAGAATGCCTCTGTGTCATCACGTTCTTTTAGTTCTACAGCTTCAGTTTCGGAACTTTCATGCTTAGTAACACATACAGCTGTTCCCTCACCACAGTGCAACAGTGAAAAGGGACCCCTTTCAAACAGTGTCGCGTTACCAACGTTGTTTAAGCGACATACACCGGTATTGCGGTATTTTAAAAATTCATATCATAACAAAAATAAACACCGGTATTCGGTATGAACCGGTATACCGCCCAGCACTGCACATATCTAAACATCCTTATTGTATATACAGAATAGAGATAGTCAAAGTCTTGTTTTGAGATATTGAACAAAATGAAGGGAGTTTGTGCTTAACACAGGAGCACAGTGGGGTGTGAAAACTTGTTTTCCCTTTAAATTAAGTTGATTTTACTGAGCCTACTATCCAAAAAAGTCGCTAGGTTTGTCAGTATGAATATTCGATGGAAAAAAGCCGCTAAAAGGGTCTGAACGTTGCTAAATCTAGTGCTAAAGTCGCGCTCGTGTGTGTGTGTGAGACGCGGGAGCTGATGGCAGCGGGCGGTGGAAAGTGGAAAACTTGTTTTCCCTTTAAATTAAGTTGATTTTACTGAGCCTACCGGCAGATATTTGTTCTTTTTTTGATATTAACTCATTTCATGTTGATCAGTTTCACAGAAAACAAGACTTCGTTCTTATCATAAGTCAATTTGCGTCTCAAATAAATGTGTCTTGATTTAAGAATCTTTAGATGTTTGAACTGGAAAATAAGACACAAACTTGCATTTTTCGATCAGAATGTACAGTTAAGGTTTTGTCCATATATTAGTTGTTGCTTTTTTATTTTTGTAAAATGAATTAAAAGTAATGTAGATCTTTTGGAAGTTTTTATTTTGTAATACAACTCATTTTCTGCTCCCTAGACATTTACATTTAGAGAATACAGTGACGTATTGTGTGTTCCCTTCAATTTATTCCTTACATTTCTTTACATGTTCTTTAAAAACAATGTACCTTTGTAAAACCTGCAGATACCTAGTTTTGCAGAAGACATTGTAGATGTTTCATTTCATTTTGCTTGGTGCTTGTTTTTTTTTTTTAATGCACAATTTAATCTTTTTATAATTAGCTTTCGAGCTCATTTTTGGGCTTGTTTGTGATGTCTTTTTTTTTTTTTTTAAGCTTGTAGGTAAAACCAAATACAGCCAAAATGTCGAGCAAATGTCGCACCAAGGGAAAGATCACCAAGAAGCGCCCTCAGCGGGCAACCTCCAATGTCTTCGCTATGTTCGATCAGTCACAGATTCAGGAGTTTAAGGAAGCCTTCAACATGATCGACCAGAACCGCGACGGCTTCATTGATAAGGAGGATCTTCATGACATGCTTGCTTCTCTTGGTAACAGTCGTCGCGTCCAGTGTACTAGACAGACTTTAGCTGTTGCGGCGCAGACACGGTGTTACTCACCTATCGAGAAGAAACAAAGCAACCTCGGCGTCCGATCGCAGGCCTTCCGCTCCTTGAGTTCTCTCCAGCGCTGGAAAGCTGATCCGATATTTACACGGGTCCTACTTCTTGCCTTAAGCCTTCGTTTGTTCTGCAGACGTTTTCCTCTTTTGTTTTTTATCCGCCATCTCTATCTTTCTGTCGCTTGGCTCGGACTGAACGCTCTCTCCTCCACATCATGAGTAGACACGCCCCTTACTGCTGATTGGCTACAAGTTTGTTTTGCTATTCGTCCCGAATCAGTTTTCTAAAGCGTTTTTGAAAAATCGCTTACCCCACCTTTAATTCCCCCTTTCACAAATTAAGGCCTTAGAAAAAAATCTTAAATTGGAGCAGAATGTCTTCAATTCATTTCATCAAGTCGTTGCATACACGTTGCATTAAATGTTGCATACAATGCAAAAATGAACATCTTCCTAGGTGTTTTTTTTCCCCATGTATTCCAATACAAATGTCTAAACATCATTAAATCAAGATAAAGTTACTTGAGATGCAAAATGAAGATAGTCAAAGTCTTGTTTTGAGACATTGAAGTGAGTTTATGCTTAAAACAGGAACACATATTTGTCAAAGGGGTGTGAAAACTTGTTTCCCCTTTGAATTAAATAGATTTTACTGAGCCTATTGGCAGATACTTGTTCTTTTTTTAATATTAACTCAATTCACGTTGATCAGTTTAAAAGAAAACGAGACTATAAGTAAATTTGCTTCTGAAGTAAATGTTTTGATTTAAGACTCTTTAGATGTTTGAATTGGAAAATAAGAAATACTGAGCGAAGGACAGCACTTTTTGCATTTATTAGATCAGAATGTACAGTAAAGTTTATTGTAAAATGAGTTAAAAGTAATGCAGTAGATATTTTTTTGAAGTTGTATTTTCTCATGTACAACTCAATTTGTGATCCGTAGACGTTTACATTTAGTGAACTTACTGTAGTGACATATTGTGTTCCCTTCGACTTATTCCTTACATTTTCTTTACATGCTCTTAATAAAAATGTACCTTCAGGAAAACCTGCAGATACCTAGTTTTGCAGAACCACTAAGACATTGTCGATGTCTTTTCATTTTGCTCGGTGCACAAAAAGAATGCACAAAGTTTTTGAGCTGAAGAATAGTAAGCTGTTTATTTTTGGCAAGTGAATCTGTAAGTGTCTGGGCTTGTTTCTGATGTGTCTTTTGTTTTCCCAGCTTGTAGGTAAAGCCAAATACAGCCAAAATGTCGAGCAAATGTCGCACCAAGGGAAAGATCACCAAGAAACGCCCTCAGCGGGCAACCTCCAATGTCTTCGCTATGTTCGATCAGTCGCAGATTCAGGAGTTTAAGGAAGCGTTCAACATGATCGACCAGAACCGCGACGGCTTCATTGATAAGGAGGATCTTCATGACATGCTTGCTTCTCTTGGTAACAGTCTGTTTTCATTAAAGTCCCCTGATGGATTAAAAATCTTGCTTTCATTTTGCATTTCATTGTTTTCAATTTAATCATACTTTCTCCCGAGTCCATAATGCAGACAGGAGAAGATTGCAATTCCACTTTTGATGTTATACACCTCTTACTTTTAAAATATGTTATAGCTCTTTTGGTGATTGTTGTAAAACATTGTACAAAACATTACTAACAAAATGCGCATGACAATCGCATTCGATTAATCGTGCAGCCCTACGTCTAATGCATGTTTGTATAAGAGGTGTTAATATGTTCATATTATATGTTAGTGTGTGAATCTGATTGAGCAGTTTTAACTTCCATCAGTATGTCGTTTTTTTTCATGTTGTGTACATGCCACTATATCTGGTTGTTTTCGTGATACTAATATTTCAGTTTTTGATGCCAATGCCAGTAAAATTTCTTGATACCAAGAAAATTGGCTATTAAACACAGTTTATTTTACAACTGTGCTATTAAATGCACTTTTATTTAAAAAAAAGTTGTTTATATAAATATTCGATTAATAAAATGGCATGTAGCCTGTACTAGGTTCTTCTATTAATTAGTCAACAATAAAATAAAGAACAAGGAAATAAATGACAAGCACTTAAATAAAAACAACAAAACAAGTACTGTTTTACTTAATTTGTATTCTGGAGTCTTCCAGCTATCTAATATTC